CCCTTAAATCGCTGTACTAACAACACATTTCTGCACTGAAATTTTAAAGCCAACACTGAGAGCAATTTGTAAAGCAGAGATGGAGACACAATCATGCTGGTCAATAGAACTAGGATAAAGACACACAAAGACTTCTGAGCATTAGCTCTGAGCAGAGCCCCAGCACAAATAGATTCCAGGATCCTAGCCCAGCTTCACTAAATCCAAATCCCAGAGACCCAGAATTTTCATTTTCATTTTCATACTCTTGTCAGCGATATCAAGACTCTCTAATATTTGATAACCATGTTGCTCAGGGTGGGAACAGTACCTGACATCATGACCAGCGCCATCCATGGTAGAGTGAGCTGAGCTTCTTTCTGTTCGTAGTGCCAACATCCCCTTTGGGTGCTGGTGCATGTCCCAGTTGCTCCAATTGCAACCCAGCTCCTTGCTTATGACCTGGGAAAGCAAAGGAGAATGTCTCAAGTCTTTGGACCACATGGGAGACTCAGAAAACGCTCATAGTTCCTCTCCTGCTTCAGTTTGGTTTAACTCTGTCCATTGTGACAGTTTGAAATAGTAAACCTATGTCTTTCTCCCTCTCTCCCCCTCTCTCCCTCTTTCCCTCTTTCCCTCTCTCTCTCTCTCTCTCTCTCCTGTGTAATTCTGTCCTTTGGATAATATATAATTTTTTTTAAAGAATGGTGTTTGACAGTAATACAGACTGTGATTTTTGCTGAAATGCAGATTCTGATCCAGCAGATTTGGGGGTGGTGCTTGAGGTTCTGTTTGTGACAACTTCCCAGCTGATGACATTAGAGCCAGCCCTGAAGCTGGAGTCATAAGGCACAGAGCCAGGAGCAAAGCTGTGAAGTACACAGTGCCTGACAGCTCATTCCCTGGCAAATGGACAAAAGGAAACCTCAGAGCCTGCAAAATTGGCAGCTAAGCTGCTTTGCCACAGCCGTGCCACCACGCTTCTGGCTCATCCCAAGCAGCCCCGATTAGCAGCTCTGAGATCTGAAATCCAGTCCATTGACCATATCCTCCAGTAGCACCTTTGCTTGACCCAGTCCCTGAGATTCCTTGTTCAGCACAAGATGAAACACAAAGAGATGATTCTGAAGTCCAATCTATTGTAATTGGTGCTTTGTTCTTAATTAGGGGGTAAAGGATTCTTTCTGTAGACCTCTGAGTCAGTACACAGCAGAGTGTCCTGTTTATTGTCCTAAGGGAAACTGCTTTGCATTGTGAAAATATATGTGTCTAAAAAAGCTGACAGAGATCTTCCAAACGATCAATGTGACAGAACCAAATTATTTGGAAAAGATTGTGAATATTTAATTACCAGAGAAGTCCCCTCCTTTTCCATTCATTGATGCATTCAACAGTAATTACGGGTTGGGAATTATGCGAAGCACTGGCACATGTTGCAGATGGTGTATGGTCGCCAGGGCCTGGCAGGGAACCTGGGAAATTCAGCCTCTGCGTAAAGTTTAACGAAACTCACAGAATTGCATCCCGTGGTTGGATTTATTTATATAATGGAAGACTCTGTGCAAATCCCTGTTATGCATGTTCTGGAGGAAACCCAGAAATGAAGGTAGAATTCCAAATGCTAGGGAATAAACAACAGGTGGTCTGGGCCTCATTCAAACTGTGAGTCACACCAAAAGTGGATGTGGTTTGTTTTTTTAAGAGTCTTTTCCACTCCAGATTTCAATGTATGGTGCTCAGCATAAAGTGGGTTTTGATTAACTACCACAATGTTATACGTGAAGTAAAAATTCTATTGAAATGATGCTTTGATTGTAACTGTGGGCAGAGTTTGTGGAGCTGGGAGGGGCATCCACCTCGGAGCCTTTTAACCCAAAGCATGAAAGACCTCTGATTTATACTAGAATTACTCCTAAAAATAGCCATTTCCAGAGCATATGAATGATATTAAAAGTATGTAAGGAGCAGCCACATGCAAATTCTTTGTGACAAGGCTAAGCTGTTCAAGGAAACTCCTGGAAGTGATTAGGGAAAGAATAGGAGACAGGAAGGAGTCCAGAGTAAAGGCAAGCTTAGGAAAGTAGGACTGCCATGGGAAAGGTGGAAGTGAGCGAGCAAGAACATGCGGACTAGGCAAGAAATAGGTGACCAACAGCCAGACGACTTGAGAAGAAAGTAAAAACATCAAAAACAATGTCATCCATGAGGTCCTTGCCAAACCACAGAACCTAAAATAACTGTTGACATCATTCTCTATTTGCACGACTGTTCCTTACTTCATGTTGCCTGTTTTATGTGATACATATACATGTGTGTATGTAAGTGTGTGCTTTTTCTATTTCAAATTAGAATGTGAGATCATCATGTGAGGAACCCAGCTTGCTGTATTCCCAAATCCAAATCACAGTTTGATGATAGTAGGTGTTCAACAAAATATTTGTGGAGTGAATTAATGAAGGAGACCAATACAGAGAATTAAGGAAGGGGGAAAGAAAGATGGCTAGCACAAAGCATCCAGAACAGAAGGACAGTGACAAAGAATGAGGAACAAGACAGCAAGTAAAAGCAAGATGTGGTATTACATAATCTTAGGTTTTAATGATATGAAAGACCCAAAACACTCAAAATCCAAGCTGAATAACCTAGAAGCATTGTAAAGTAGTTATAAGTCTTGGAATGAAAGAATCAATTTTCAAAAGGAAAAACAGCCCCTGATTCTGGAGAGGAGGCCCACAGACTCCAGGGACCCTGATTCTCTTCCCAGCCCCACGAAAGGGCCTTCGGTAAGCTACCTTGTTCCTGCCTGGGCCCAGGGGACCCTCCGTGTGAATTTGCGCTAGGGGGAGCATCAGATGTCACCAGGGAACTGTTAAACAACAGGAGAAAACAATCAGGGGGAAGAGGGCTTTAGCAATGCAGCAACAGTCAGGAAAGAGAACTTGACTAACCACACTTGCTTCCGCCTCCGGTCCCCTCAGACAGTGTCTCATTGTCAGGATTGTGTTTATCTGAGCAAAGACAAAGCCCCAGCTATGAGCTGCAGTGCTGCACTCGCTAGGACCTGCTTTACCCAAGGTCTTGATGCCGGCAGGCATGACACTGAAGGCACTGATCTGGGCGAACACAAAGGAGAAAGTTGAGACTCTCCCAAGAAGAAACACTCAGGGCAACTTCTGCCCCAGACAACCATGTCGAGTGTGTCCATGGTATGTGCGAGCTGACCGCTTGTTCTTAGTCAAGAGGTAACACACAGTGCAGGGTGTTTCTTTCCTGTCCCGAGCCTCTACTTGTAGCATTGGCAGCCTATATATGCTCTCATTAGAGTACCACTTCTGCTCCAGCCCCCAGTTAATGTGCTTGGGAAAGCAGCAGAGAATGGCCCAAATGCTTGGGGCCCTGCACCCACACGGGAGTCTGGGAAGAAGCTCCAGGCTTCTTCTGTTTGGATCATTTGGGAATGAATAAGCAGATGGAAAACCTCACTCTCTTACTCTCTTCTTCCTTTCTCTCTGTACTCAGACTTTTAAATAAATAAATCTCTTTCAAATAAGTGTGCTTTGCAGGTAATGTTTATTTTTAATGTTTTTGGCATGCTTCATTTTGAAAATTATATATATATATATGTATGTACACACACACACACATTTAAAGAAAATCGGTTTGGGGGACAGCATAGCAAGCTAAACTTCTACCTGAGGCCATCCATAAAGTTTGCCAACTCAAGTTCTGACTGCTATACTTTTGATCCAGCTTTCTGGATCAGATTCCACTGCCTGGAAAAACAGTAGAATATGGCTCAACATTTGGGCCCCTGCATCTACATGAGCTATCCAGAAGAAGCTACTGGCTTTGGACCAGCCCTGACACGAACTGGTACTCTACCAAGTGCAAGGAAAGGATTTAGCCACTGAGCCATTGCACTGGCCAAGATTTATTTATTTTTTTTATTAGAAAGGAAGAGTTACAACAAAAAAATGCAAGACAGAGAAAGAGAGTTTCCATCTGCTTTTCACTCCCCAAATGGTTACACGATGGCTCAGTGGATAAATCCTCTCCTTGAATATATCAGGGTCCCATATAGGTGCCACTTCACATCCCGGCTGTTCTGTTTCCCATCCATCTCCCTGCCTGTGGCCTGGGAAAACACTGAAAGATGAGCCAAAGCCTTGAGACCCTGCACTCACATGGAAGACCCAGAAGAGGCTCCTGGCTTCTTAGTGGCTCAACTCTGGCCTTTGCAGCCACTTGGGGAGTGAACCAGTGGTTGGGAAATCTTTCTCTCTATATCTCCTTCCCTCTGCAAATCTAGCTTTCCAATTTAAAAAGAAATAAATAAAGTATGATCTGGGAAGCAGCAGAGAAGACTTAAAAAATTGGGTCCCTGCTACCCATGGGGGGATCCAAATAGTTTCTGGTTCCAAGCTTTGGCCAGGTCCAGCCACGGCTGTGGTAAGTTCTGTCACCCTCTTCTGTGTCTGTGTGTCTCTTACTTGCAAACAAACTAACAAACAAAATATATATATAGAAATAAAAAATTGTTAGATTAAAATAGCTTGAAAATGTAACTACCAGTGAATTATAGTTTATAGCTATTAGCTAGCTATTTTATAGCACTGTGTGAATTTTAACACGTGTATGTTGTAATGATAATTCATACCACTTGCTAGGTTGTAAGTTGTTTATTCTGTGTTTATTTGATCTTCATAGTAGTCTAATAAGGAAAATATTATTTCAATTCTTATTTACAGATGAACTGGAATTTCCTGGAGAGGAAGGTTTAAGAAACTAACAAAATTGTGGGATTATGCCACTCAGAGCCTGCAGCTAGCAATAAAAATATGATATAAGCAGTCCTGGACTCAACTTTTTAATTAATATTTAACATGCATATATTAAAATGCACAATTCACACCAATTTTGAATATGTGGGTTGATGAATTTTTATATAGGTATCCACCAGGAAATCATCATTCAGATTAAAATACAAAATATTTCCAACATTCCAGAAAGTTCCTTTCAGCTCCATCAATACCACCCCAAAGGTAACCATTATTCTGACTTCTATTTTTATAGATTAATTTTACACATTTGTTTCAAGAACAACAACGACAGCAACAAAAACCCTACTTATTTACTTACTTGATACAGCAACAGAAAGGGAGATGGGAAGAGACAGAGTTCTCCCTTGTCTTTTTGGTTCACTTCCTAAATTGTCACACCAACCAGGGATAGGCCAGGCCAAAGTCACAAGGCTGCAACTCCATCCAGATTTCTCTTGTGGGTGTTAGGGACTCAAGAGTTCTGACCATTATCTGCTGCCTCCCAGGCACAGTAGCAGGGGGCGTTGAAACAGAAGGAAAGCAGCTGGAATTGGACCAGCACTCTGGCATGGGTCGCAAGTATGCTAAGCAATGTCTTAATCTGTTGTACCAAATTGCCTATCCCAACTTTTACCTATTCTTGGACTTCATGTAAATGGAATTCTACAGTGTATGTTCATCTCTGCTTCCTTTACTCAATATTATGACTGTGAGACTCAATTATGTTTTATATATATTAATAATGCATTCATTGTTTCCATGACATATTTCATTGCACGAATATTCCCAAATCATTTATCCATTCCTCTCTTGATTGGCTTCTGGGCTGTTCTGAGGTTTTGATTACCATGAGTACAGTTCTTGTGAATCTTCTCTTTGCCTCCTTCTAAGGAGCAAACATTGTCAATTATCTTGGGTGGAACTGTATTTACAATTCACAGATAATATCTAACAGCTTCCCAAGTGGCTATGCCAGTTTATACTCCCACTAGTGATGCTTCCACTTGCTTGCCACCTGCCCCACTCCAGTGCAGGTGCAGGGGGAACTCACTGTGGCTTTAATTGGCATGTCCCTGATGACAGGAATGCCCAGCACTTTTCCATAGCCTCATTTGGCCGTGTGGGTATCCTGTTTTGCGCAGTGCTTCTTAAAATCTTTCAGTTATGTTTTCAATTAGGTGATTATCTTTTTGTTATTGAGTCACAGGAGCTTTTAACGCCCTATTTTTGATATGAAGACCTTGGCAGGCACGTCTGATCAGCAATGCGAGGATCGTCACAGTCTGTGGCTTCTCCTTACACTCTCTTAGTGGTGTCTGCTAACACCAATCATATTCAGGAATAAATGCATTTCATATAACAGATGCAAAACAGGCAAGTATCTAAGTTAGCAATACATACCATGTAATAAAATATTTATGAACAACTTTTTAAAAAGACCTCTTTCAGATTACTATTCTGTTCATGCAAGCACAGATTTCAATATTCAGCTCTTATTACTTTATATGCAAGGCATCCTGCCTCAGGAGCAAGAATCTGCTGAGACTTTTCTTGACCTTAGGAATTGACAGGACTCCACCAGGTTAGCAGGCAATGTATAGCCCTAATGTAATGAAAATAACAATAACAAATACAAATACATTCCTATGAGATCATGTTAGATTTGAGCAGGAGCCTGGAGGCAGAGCATTAAGGCGAATTCCATGGGTGACATTGCTCAGCCTCTGCAATGAAGTCAAAGGAGGAGTTTATTAAACAAACTTGAAGGAAAGGATGCACAGGAATCAGATGCAAATGCTTAAGCATCACTAAAGCAATGATTCCTATTACATGGCTTTCAGTCCTCCTGCACCAGATGGACATTGGGTTCTTGTGAAACTGCAAATTACTGCCTCTCACCCCAGACTTTCTTAATACAAACCCTTGGGAACTAGGACCTCACAATCTGTGTGGCAAGCGTGCTCTTTGAATGATGGAGTTTTGATTTTGTTTTTGTCGTATTCTTTTACACTCTTGGGTTTGAGAATTCCTGAATTAGAATGCAAGGGAAGCTAGGGCGGACACTGTGGCACAGCAAGTGAAGCTCCCACCTGCGATGACCATTCCCTGATTTAGAGCACCAGTTTGAATCCTGGCTGTTCCACTTCCAAGCCTGCTCCATGCTAATGCAACCAGGAACCAGCAGGTGACAGTGTGAATGTTCAAGTTCCTGTCACATGGGAGACCCAAATGGAACTCCTGGCTTTTGTTTTTGGCATGGCTCAGTTCCAGTCTTTCCCTCTCTATATGCCTTACGAACAAATAATGTTTGTTTAAAAAGTATAAAGAAGGGCTGGCATTGTGGCACAATGAGTAAAGTCACCACCTGCATCACCAAAATCCCATATGGCCATTGTTTTGAGTCCCAACTGCTCCATTTCTGATCTAGGTCCCTACTAACACACAAGAAAAAGCAACAGAAGATAGCCCAAGTGTGTGAGTCCCTGCACACACATGGGACGCCCAGAAAAACTTTCATTTAGACACTTCCAGGCATTGCCGCCGTTTAGGGAGAAAATCAACAGATGGGAGATCAATGTGTTGTGTGTGTGTGTGTGTGTGTGTGTGTGTGTGTAAACCTTTTTACTTTTTCGATAGCACGACAGTCCAAACTGGGCCAGATGGAAGCCAGGAGTCAGGAGCTCCTTCTAGATCTCTCACGTGGATAGCACAGTCTCAAACACTTGTGAAATCCTCCACTGCATCCCTGGGTATGTTTACAGAGTGCTAGATCAGAAATGGAAGAGCCAGGACTCAACTAATGCCTACACAGGCAGCAGCTTAATCCACTATACTACAGTGCCAGCTACAATAAAATAAATCCTAAAAATAGATGTAAAAGTATTTTTAATGTGAGGAAATAAATATAACACACCAGCAATGTTGTGTAGGATCAATTTATAAAAAGCATTTCCTTAAATTTCATGCTGAAGAGTTGATTAAATCGAGAGGGCACAATCTCCTAAACGTTTTTAAAGGGTGAAATTTTTTTTTTAAATCAAGCTTAGAAGTCTTGATAAATATACTTCTTCCTCTTTCCCAACTATTAAAACTATCAAAGGTATCTATGCAAGCACTTTAATGGTACTTGAGCTGTATCTTGACAAGTCCAGGAGGATATAGTTTTTCTTTTTTTCTTATAGATCATGGATTAGCATGTGCATGGGGACTTTCAGTAAGATTGTGGAAAATGCAGGTTATAACACAACCTGTATAGCCCAACATAGTAGTCTAGTGACTAAATCCTCGTCTTGCATGAGACTTGATCCCATATGGTCACGAGTTCGTGTCCTGGCTGATCCATTTCCCATCCAGCTCCCTGCCTGTGGCCTGGGAAAGCAGTAAAGGATGGCCCAAAGCCTTGGGACCCTGCACCCTCATGGGAGACCTGAAAGAAGCTCTTGGCTTTGGATCAGCTCAGCCATCTAGAGAATGAACCAGCAAATCAAAGATCTTTTTCTTTCTCCTTTCTATAAACCTACCTTTCCAATAAAAATAAATCTTTAAAAATCTTTTAAAAATCTTTTTAAAATCTTTTTAAAAAATTTGTTTAAATCTACCTATAGATTTTTCCATGAATTCTCTGAAGACCCCTTACATTGATATAGTTGGAACTTTTTAAAATATGATATTTATATTTGGTAATCTTAAATCAATGTTATATTATTCAGATGTAATAATAATGCAATTATATAGTAAGTGATCATTTTTCTTAGATATACATGTTGAATAACTACACATTGAGTCTCTGGGTTGATACAAGGTGGCAATTCCTCACCCCTGGGTACTGGGACATGTGGAAAGTCATGCTGGGCTTCCCCCTTTGTCTTTCCTCTTCCCCCAGAAACAAGAAGAAACAGCAAATTTGGAAGCAAATAGTTCACCCAATTTTCTCTATACCTCGATCCTTCCCACCCCAATCAACCATGTAATCATTATTAAAAAATAAAACTTAAACACATGTTCAGAAAAATCAATCAAGAGGGAGGCATTTAGCCTAGCAGTTAGGACAGCAATGTTCCATACCAATGTTACTGGAAATGAACAGACCCTGTAAAAGGTCAACATGAGGTTTAGTAAAGGCAGGATATATATGAGTGACTTTGGGCCAGGAGAAACAATCCAACAACCAGTAATGAGTGTTGGGAAGTGTTCCAAAGTGCTCAAATTTTAGTCCAGATTTATGTATTCCATGACCGTAAATTTTAGTTTTTCATTACACAAGAAGCATGCATTTGCTCTATGGAAAGGGAAGTGAGTTTCTCACAGGTTGGAGATTATCTTTTGTGGGAACACGGTTGCTTACAAACACCTCTTCTGAAAAGAGACTACTGGCTAATTTTACGGAGAAGACAAAGAACAAGGCTTGTATCAAGTCCCAAGATGATCGTGGAAGCTGATCCTGGAGTACATCATTGAGGAATGCTGGACACTTTCCAGTCAGGTGTCGGGATGCTGTAAGTCAGGTAGGCAGCTGGCTTAGGGAGCTAGTTTAGGATCACCAGTTGGAAGCCACATTTTCCCTGCCTATGTAATCCTATCTGCCCATCTGTTAGTCAAAATACTCCTTACCTGGGACCTGGGTGGAGTAATGTTAGGTAGCCACATCCCTTTTGAACACCAAAACAGACCTGACTGAGAAAAGCTGTGCTCTCTGTCTTTCTTGAGATGTAGATATAAATAGAAACTTCTCTCTCATCATTCCTTTTCTTGTCCACTCTTGTCCCTGAACAAGACCCTCATGTGTCTGGGATTTCCTCACCTTCTAAATAAAGTTATCATTTTGTAAGCTGTAATGGTGCCTGTGTTTAAAATGCTTTTTAAGCGAAAGGTAAGGACCTAGAAAGAAATATTAGGAGCTTCCTTGGCAGCACAACTGGATTTGCTCTCTGACTCCTCCCAGTCCCAGCTCCCTGCTAAGGCACAGCCCCTGGGGGCAGACAGGTGCAGTTTCCAGCTCCCAGCGTTAGCTTGGCCCAGCCCAGCACAGGCCATTGCAGACATTTGGAGAATGAATCAGCCTAGTGCAGCTCTGTAGGTCTCTTCTTCCATGCCTCTCTGTCACAAAACAAACAAGCATCAAAATAAAATGGAGAGAAAGAGGGAACATAAAATCTCAACACCCATTCAGGCGTGGTGATGCAGCACACGGTTTCCATTGGAATATGATTTCAATTTTTCTGAGGCTTTAAATTTAGAGAAAATGAATGGTGTGGAGCCCAACCCAGACTACACACAATATACTACTATTTTTTTTTTTTCTTTTTCAAATGCAGAAGGCAGGGCAACTTCAAAAGAACTCGCCATCAGAATTCTGTTACAGAAATGGAAAGCCTCTTCTAAAAGTCTTCAATTTGGGTTTGGAGTTGCCATTTATAATTTTTGGCTCTGGCTTGCCCCATCTTCCATTCTTCCTTTCTTCCCCCTCCAACCACCACCCCTCACTCCACAAACCCCAAGTTGCAGGAGAGAAGGCGATGGAAAAATGCACATTCCGCAAATGTAGAACATCTGACATGTCATAAAGTTGTGGCGTGTGGCATGTTCCGAGCACTGCCCCACAACCTCCCACCTGCGCAGTGACATTGCCCGGGTCCACCTTTTGTCTCGGCTCCGTGCAGGCTGTGTGAAAAGCTGATCAGAAAGCAGTGACCCTGGCAAAGCTGAGCTGAGGACACATCTGTTTACACAGTGCCGCCTCCGCGGCTTGGAGTCCTCTGTTCTTTTATCTTCCCCCTCTTTCTGGCACAGCCCAGACTCCCCTCGGGTCATTTCCGGAGTGGAACCCGCGCTCGGTCACTCCGCCTTTCGGCTTCCTTCCCCTTCCCTTGGCAGTTTACAGAAAATTGCTCAAAGGGGGGCGGGGGTTAGTGGTTGCAAATAAATAAATCTAAACCTTCTGGAACGCGTCTGTAATTGTATTGTTGTGCGAATGTCTGAGAAGGGGGAGACCTGTGCGGTGTTGTGTGAAAGCAGCGTCAAGCACTAAGGCTTCCCACGCACCAGGAAGAGTTGCTCTGGAGTTCGCTGGACAGCGGGATGGATTTCCGCAAGGATGCCTGATAGGGTGACCTCAGACCAATTACTGAACTTCTCTAAAATGCAATTTCCTCACGTATAAAAGAGAACACAATATCTATGTCTTGTTAGGGTGAAATGTCACAGCATAATTTTGTCTCTCCTGAGTGGAGTGTAGACCTCTGAACTTGGAGCTGTCATCATTGCCTGCCAGCAGGTTGAAAGTGATCCCCTGAGCACACACAACCCTCCGGAGAGAAAGGGACAGCAGAGCAGGTTCCTTGAGGCCAATGTGAAGCCTTTCTTTGAAGTCTTTTGTGATTCAAATGGTCCAGATCCTATCAGTGCCGCTCTGCTGCGAAGGGGCAGAACATCCTGCAATAAGTGAATGAACTTTGATTCCTGAAGGGTGGAGTGGGGGCGGGACTGTGCTGAGACTGCTCCATCCACTGCCCTCCCCCTCACACACACACACTTCACACTTTGAATGCCGGGGCCCTGAGGTGTTAGGGGTGCCGAGCCCTCTCCAGAAAGGGAACTTGTAAAATACCCAGAGCCTTCATCCTACCTTCCCTACTACTTCACAGGCCCATTTCAGTTTGTATCGTATTTAAAATGCGATGCTCTTTTCGTCATGCTGTAATACACTCCTTTGCAGACCGAATAGCACTGTTAGCTGCCAACAGACGCCTCACCAAAGAATTAAAGAAAACCACAAGTTTCTGTGCTACCATGAGGACTACTGTGTCAAGTTGAAAATAAGAGAGGAAGCTTAGGGACAAACATACCCCGGTCCCCACCCCCAACACACCCCCCACCCCGCCACACACACACCACTGGGGACTGCATTTATGCCCCCTTCCATGAAGGATGCAGGCCACCTCCAACCCCTTGCAGTGATCCTGAAAGTGAAAGGCAGGAAAGCAAAGAGCTGAAAAGGTGAAGCCAAAAGCATCTCGGCTAAGGAAAGTGGTTTCTTCCCTTTCGGCTGTAGTTGTCCCACCTCCCTAACTCCCTGAGGGCAAATACAGGCCCCGTAGGGCAGACTGGAAGCTGGGACTTGACCTGCAGGTTGTGGCTTCCCCTGGTGAGTCTCAGTAATCTAAAGAGCCTAGAGAGTTTTACAATTATTGGTTTAGCATATGTATGATGTCTGGGAGGTGTCAACATGAAAGAGTGAATAAATTTCTCATCCACCATCACCAAAATAGTTTTTGAGATTAAAAACAATGATCATCATCAACCAAAGCATCAAACAGTGAGAGTCCATCAAAAGCCAAGAATTAGGTTAGGGACGTGTGGAAAATCAAGCTTAGTGAGACACACCACTGTCTTCAAGGAGTTTTACTATTGTTCTAGAAGATAGGCAATTAATTTTAAAGCCACAAAACATCAATAGCTACATAAGAAAGTGTGAAGCAAGTGAGAGGGTGGAAGAAATTGGAGCCTGAAATGAAGCAGTTTGTCACAGGACCTGTTGCAGAAATGTCCAGTTCTGGTGAATGAATGAACCACAGAGTGAGAATGAGTGAAGCAGCAAATGCAATATAAAACCTTATTTTTTTTTCAGTGGCTTAAATCTGCACTCCGGTTGCCCTCATCCCATAGCACATTTCATGTTCAAGTCCCAGCTGCTCCATGATTCCCATCCAGCTTCCTGCTAATGTCTGGAAGGCAGAGGATGATGAATGGCCCAAGTACCTGTGTTCCTGTCACTGTTAGGAGAGACCAGGATGGAGTTCCTGGCTCCTGACTGCTGCCTGCCCTAGTCCTGGCTATTGCGGCTTTTTGGAGACTGAACTAGTGGATGTGAGATCTCCTTCGATTTTTGTATCTCCATTTCTCTCTGTCCTCCAACCTTTCATTCTGCCCTTAGCAGATATGTTTGGAGTACAGATTTGCATGTTAGTATCTAATTCTGCTGCAAATTTTCTCCACGATTAGCAAGCACCCTGAAAGGAGTCCTGTTTTGAAGAGGCAGTTGCCTTTTCAACTACAAAATTTGTTGGGGCCCTGCGTCATCGCCTAGTGGCTAAAATCCTTGTCTGTCATGCACTGGGACCCCAGATGGGTGCCGATTCATATCCCAGCTGCTCTGCTTTCCATCCAGCTCCCTGCTTGTGGCCTAGGAAAGCATTAGAGGACAGCCCAAAGCCTTGGGATTCTGCACCTGCGTGGGAGACCCCAAAGAAACTCCTGGCTTCAGATCTGGCCATTGCGGCAACTTGGGGAACTTGGGCTATGTTTCAGAGTCTTGGAATAGCAAACAATACAGGTTTAGCTAAAAGTCGTATCCAACATTTCCTATGAAAATGCCTAGACAGATGTAGGTGATTTGTTTTTTGCAGTTTTCCAGTGCAAAATGAGACCAAGTTAGTGTAAAGAAGTCAGAATTCCTGAAAATTGATAAGACCTCGCCATTTCAGACTCCACATCACTTCAAATTACTCCTGCCCCTAGGTCTCAGCTTCCTCCCCACGATTCGCTCCTGTAAACTTCGCTCCCTTTATGTTCAAATTTTACTGTCTGCTAAACCGCTGTGACCTGTAACCTTCTTCTCTACCAATCCAGTGTAACTTTGTAATCCTGTTCCCCACCAACCTGCTGTAACGTAATGGCACCATACATGACGTCAGTATCCACCAATCCTCACAGCCCTGTGTTTCCAATACCCGCCCCCTGGTGTAAAAGCAGGCTCCCATGTGCCAGCTGTCTGCTCTCTGCTCCCTGCTGTTTCTAGCTGTTCTCTCTCTCTCTCTTTCCCTCCCCACAGACACCTTCCTCTCTCATCGGAATAAAGACCTATCGGGTGACTTGCTATGTCTGGTGTCTTGAGTTTGTGGTGAATATTCTTAACAAATCTCAATTCGCATTTCTGCTGAACCTATATATGTAAGCAGATGAACCTTAATGAGAAACTTAATGTGCACCTGTGATCATTAACAACCTTGGAGGAAAAATCGTGAAAGGCTTTGAAGTGGGAAAACATAGAAGAAAATATTTCCCAATGCTCTCTTAATGGAATATTCAGTGCTGTCTAGTATATCGCATTGTGTAGATTGTGCCTCTCAATGTCTTTGAGCTATTTCATAATTCTGTAAGTTGTAGAAAGCGGCTGATTAAGCTAACAATTCCTGTTCACTGGAATGTGAACACATCTCGTCATGGCTAATGGACTGCTGGCTCCACCCTTTAGTCGGGAGCAGCATTGCGTCTATCAGCAAACACCTTTCAACCTTCCTGATTACCAGGGTTTATGCCTCCTTGATGTCCTCTTTGAACCAATCTGACAACCAATTGTTCTTGAAAATCAATGATGTAACTAAAATATTTGATAACTTCTTTGATTTTTTTTTCCTTTGACATAATGTTCTTTTAGATAGACCTTTGTTTCTGTACCTAAATTGCTGCTTGGGAAATATAAAGGCATAAGTTTGAGAAACGGTTTCTCTTTTACTGTACCTGCTTTGGGCACTTGGGGAATGAACCAATGGATGGAAACACCCTGTCTTTATCTGTCTCTGCCTCTCATATAAGCAAAATCATCTCTTAATATAGGAAAAACTCAGTAAAGAAGATACCAGCTTTTTATACCATGTTGGCAATAGAGAAAGTAGATCAAGCACCTTCAATTATATATATATATATATTTTTTTTTTCCTCAACGGTTATCGATAAAAATTCTTGGGGTAGTTATTTTAGTACAGTGGGCTAAGACTCCACTTGGGAGGCCTACCCCTAACATCAAAGTGTCTGAATTCCAGTCCTGCTTCTATTTCCAATCCGGTTTTCTACTAAAGCATACTCTTAGAGGTGTAGGTGGAGTTCTTGACTCCTGGCTTTGGCCTGGCCCAACCCCAGTTGTATCAGGCATTTGGGAATGGAATTAGTGGGTAGAACATTCCTCCTGCTCTCTCTTTGTCTTTCAAATAAACAATAAATAATCATTGAAAGTAAATAAACAGATAAGAGGTAAATGATTTATGAAGATAGAATTGGTTAAAGAAAACAACGCTTTACACTATCTTTTGTGTAGAGAAAAAAAAAAGCCCCCTTTTAATCCCATTTGTTTCTTTCCTTAGATTCAGTGTCTGGGATTCCTCAAATAACATTGACAAATGGCAGATTTTAGAAATAAAGGGCTTATCTCACACATTTATGGGAGCTTCAAAAAAGAATTTAAAAACCCTGACTTGGTAATGCCTGGGACCACATATCACCATTTTAACAAAGGGTAATAAATGCTAGAGAAAGGGGTTTGGACTGTTTGAGGTGGTAAGTAATGGGAAGATAAATATGAGATGGTCTTCATTTTATGGAAAAGGCAGATGGATAAAAAAAAAATAGTGTGTAGATATCAGAAAATTTTAGCATCAAAAAACTTACCCTTTAATTGTGTTTTCATGAATTCTTTTTAAAGTGTCCTAACATTTATCCTCCCACAGAAACTTAGTAGATAAAGTTGCTTTAAGAAGGTTTGTTCTGTGGAACTGATCTCAGTGCTGACTTTGCATCTGTGAGAGGAATTGTTCCCCTAGTATAGGGGAGGGGAAGGAAAGCATGATTGCAAATGGAAATTTACGTCCTTCTTTCAAGCAGAGAGGACAAATTCCTCCTGTATCTGCTCTTTGCAAGTTGTTTTCAGTTCAAAACAATCCAAAGGTGAA